ACCCAGAGGCACCACAGAAAAGCCTAGTGATCTACTTATGAAAAATAAGCCATTGAAAACACTATGGAACACAGTTCTACTTTGACACACATGAGGTCACCATGAGTTGGAATCAACTTGACGGTAACTGGTTTGGTTCTTTTATGAGACCACAGATCACACTAGGATTAGGAAACTGCTTCTAGAAAGAACGGTCTATGGCTGGATAAGTGAGTCACCAGGAAGGGAAAGCCCCAGGGAGCACTGAAAAAGTGCACTTCATTTCATACTATAATTTGGTGATATCATATTTTGTTAGGCAACACAAGGCAGTTCAGTTAAAAATGACTGTTTTCCCAACAAACGGTTCCCAGAAGAAGCAAGTGCTATAATTCTATTTTCAAACACTAAAGATGTTTTCATTGCAGAAAAAACAAACAAACATGTTTTAAGTTGCTTTGGTTCAATAAAACAGTGAAGAGTGGGGGGTTGGAAAGGCAAAGAAGGCAGAAAGCCAAAAGTGCAGAGGGAAAATGTCAAGTCCACACCGTGAAGGGCCCTCTTTTGTCTAATAATAAAAGCCTGTGTTGCACTACAACTGACATTTAAATCTCTTTCTGTGCTGTTCAATACAGTAACCACTTACTATATATGGCTATTTAAATTTAAATTAATTAAAATGTTTAAAAATTAAAAATGCAGTTCCTCAGTCACACTAATCACATTTTATGTAGTCAACAGCCACATGTGGCTAGTGCTTACTGTACTGGATAGCACAGGTATAGAACATCTCCATCTTGGCAGGAAGTTCTACCGGACAGTGCTATAAATGATACAGAAAAGTAAAGCATATCTAAATAGCTTAATAATCTTTCATATAATAGGGTCAATTCTTGAAAAACCTTTAGATTCCTTTGTTTATGAACATTTCCTATAGAAGCATTAGGGATTTCTTCCTTTGTTTCCCACCTCCTCTTCATGGATTAGTTGAAAGGGACAATGGGTATTTGTTTCATCATTTTCCAGAAGTTTTACAAATATACAAAATTACATCTAAATACTATCTAGATATTTATCTTGAACACAACTGAACAAGATGTTAAAGAAAATAAATTTGAACACACTTGCTCCCTTCTCCCAAGTGCCAAATAAAGCTGTTTTGCAAAACCAGTGCTTTCAGGTATATTAAAATTCCTACTCCTTAATATTTCACACCCTGTTAGTGACGTGGGACTGTGCCATGTTATTAACTAACCAGCACTGGCAGACATTTTTCCAGATCAGTACACTAGTAAAAACTATCGCAAGACCGTAAGATGCAATAGGGACATAATACAGAAAATTTCCCAAAGAACTTAAAACATGTTGATTATCTTTGGTGATACAACTCTCCCAGTTTTCATCCTGACATTTTTGGGTGAACTCTGCTCTCTTCTTCTTTCTCTTCTAGACCTTCAAATGTCTTTGGAGAGCTCGTGGGAGGATATCAGTCCTGGGCCCTCTTTTTGTTCTACACTCTCTTCCTAGGCAATTCCATCCATTTCTGTGGCTTTAAATATTAACCATGATAAATGCTATGACTCAAATTTCTACCTCTCTTTTGCGTATCAAAAGTGGCCCTGGTGGCACAGTGGTTAAAGCACTTGGCTGCTAACCAAAAGGTTGGTGGTTCAAACCCCCACCAGCCACTCCGAGGTAGAAAAGATTCCGTAAAGATTTCATTCAGCTTCCATAAAGATTTCAGCCTAGGAAACCCTATGGGGCAGTTCTACTCTGTTCTATAGGGTTGCTATTGGTTGGAATTGACCCAACGGCAATAAGTTTTTTGGCTCCAAGTTTCAAATCTACATATCCAACTGCTTTCCTAGTATCTCTGTACAAATGAATCACAGGCATCTTGAACCTAATAGTTCTAAAACCAAGCAGTATCCCTCACTTCTCCTCTCTCAAAATCTGTTCCTTCCCTAAACTGACAACTGACTACTACTCCCGATTCACTTAGTTGTACAAGTCAGAAGTCATCATCCTTGATTCATTATTGTATTCCCTCTCTTACCACCAACACATAAGCCATTATCAGGTCTTAGTCATCTTATCAGCAAAATATATCCAACTGTCTTCAAATTCACTGGCACCTCCATAGTCCAAGCCACCTGGACAATTGCAGTAACCTAGCAGGACTCTCCACTCTGTCCTTGATCACCTACAAATATAGACACTAGCCAGGGAGATTGTTTTTTCACTTGCAAACCATTCAGTGTTGTCTGTATTCCATGGCAACTATTGTAACACAAGCTAATAAAATATAATACAAAAGAAACCTGAGACTTACAAACACAAAGTAATGTTGGGAATGTGTACTGTTCGTGTGGACCAGTTTTCTCTATCTTTAAGCTGAGAGTAATCTTTAAAAAATGTAAACCATTCCACTCCTCTACTTAAAATCTTTCAGTAGCCTCCTACGTCTTTTAAAGTAAAATCTGAATTTCTTAACTCAGTCCCTGCATCATCTGACCCCCTCTACCTCTCCAGCTTTAACTTCAAGGCACCCTTCCCTCTTGTTCACTGTGTTCTAGCCACCTGGCCGCCTTTTAGTTCTAACATGCCAAGCTCTTCTCAGCTTCCATTTCCTTTGTCTGGAATTCCCTTCCCTTTGACTCTTTGCCTAAATAACTTCTATTCATCTTTCAGGTTTCAGTTTTAAAATCTTTTCCCCGATACCCCAATTTAAATTAAATCACCCTATTATAATTTCTTATCATAGCCTTTACTTTTCATTTAGAGCATTTGCCATAGTTTGTAATTACTGTATATATTTGTGTGTGTGTGTGTTTTTTTTTTTTTCTTAATGTCTGTCTCCCCCACTACAGCATAAGTCCCAGGAAGGCAGGGACCTGTTAGTTCTGTTCACTACAGGAGCGCCAATATCTGGCACAGAGCAGTACGGAGCCAATAAATATTTATTCAGGGAGGGACTGAATCTTGCATAGAGATGGTGTTAGGGAAAGCAAACAAATCCATGGAGGTTCTACCGATAAGCTGAGCATTCAAACATAGAAGTGGTATTGTAGGCTCCCCAAATTTTGTCTCAAAAAGACTCACTTTGCAAATTTTAATTTTATACAAAACAGTTTTTTTCCTCCTTTCGGCCAGTAACTGAGAATAAAGACTGAGGAAGTTTAACAATGAGTAGGGGATTTAAACAACTACAGATTGCTCTTAATGGGCCTGGGATCCTACAATAGAAAGAGAAAAAAGTTCTGGCATTCTGCGTCTTCTACCATACTCTTTTGTTATTGTCTATTAGAAAGTTTTTTATCTATTTAAATCACATATACACATGTACATATGGACGTATGGACAAACACACAGAGGATTTAAAGTAAAGCAGTTCGTTCTAAATAACACTCTGGGTATGATCATTTGTTGAGTTCTAAGTGTGTGTTTATGTATAAAACTAACAGGTTCAGTTGCCTCCAGGAACCCTCTTAAAATGGTAGAAATGGAATCCATACAATATAGTTCTCATCTTGGAAAATTTTTTTTCTCAATAATATTTCACCAACTTAATAAAATCTGTATACTCATGTTAACTCTATAATATTTTTTCAGTTAAGTATTTTCAAAATAGTCTATATTCTTACTGGTTAATAGTCCTGGCTGGGTCTATGGCTTAGATTTTACTATCCTTTGCACACAGATGCAGGTATCTGTTTGCTTCCAGATATTCCAAAAAGTAACTACACTTCAAAGACAATGGACAATCTTCCAGCCAGGCTACTATTTCCTTCTCCTGTCACTTGTGTTGTTAGCTATTGTCAAGTCAGCCCCTGACGCATAACAACCCCATGCACAATAGGATCAGACCATTGTGATCCCAATGGTTTTCACTGGATCACTAGGGAGGAACACCGGTGGTGCAGTTGTTAAGTGCTCGGCCGCTAACTAAAAGGTCGGTGGTTCAAACCCACCAGCCGCACCGCCGGAGAAAGATGTCGTAGTCTGCTCCCGTAAAGATTTACAGCCTTGGAAGCCCTATGGGGCAGCTCTACTTTGTTCTATAGGGTTGCTATGAGTTGGAAACAACTTGATGCAGTGGGTTTGGTTTGGGATCACCAGGCCTTTCTTCCTAGTCTGTCTTACTTTGTAAGCTCCACTGTAACCTGTTCAGTATCATAGCAACATGCAAGCCTCCAGTGAAAGATAGGCAGTGGCAGTGCACTGGCTGGGAATTGAACCCAGGTCTCCCACATGGACGGTGAGAATTCTACCACTGAACTACCAATGCCCTCTTATACCTGGTAATATTTCATAAAATGACTTAAGACATTATCTAGCCCCATCCACTTATTTTGTAGATGGAGAAACAGAGAACCCAGAGATAGATATTAATGGTTTCTCTGGATTTTTTTCCCCCTTTATGCAGATTTGACTGGCTCCTTATAAATTTAATCCACGTACTTCACTGATTACTGGTATACGTAGGCTTTATTCCAGAAATATTCTGGGCAATTGAGAATGTAAGTGCCAGAAATTTACTCTATCATTTGACTTACTGCTCTGACTTTAGGCTACTGGTATCTTGGTGTCAATTCCAAATTCCGCAAAACTCAGAAAACTGAATCAAATCCATCAAGCTCAGCTGAAAAAGTGATGCATTCTACTCTTATGCTGCATTCAAAATAAACAGTGACACCCAAGGTGCAACTACCACAACTCAGCTAAGCCGGAGGATCTGTGGCAAAGTTGGCACTTTATGGCCTGCATTCAAAATGATTTTTAACTGCTGACACCAAAAAAAAAAAACAAAAACAAAAACAAAAACAAAAAACCAACAAACCAAACCCATTGCTGTTGAGTCGATTCCAACTCATAGTGACCTTATAGGACAGAGTAGAACTGCCCCCGCCAGGGTTTCCAAGGAGCAGCTGGTGGACATGAACTGCCGACCTTTTGGTTAGCAGCCATAGCTCTTAACCACTGCACCACCAGGGCTCCCGCTGCTGACAGGTGCATGTTTAACTGGTGCTCTAACAGACTAAGGCTGCCCTGAAAGGCCCTGCAATGGGGTGGATGAGAGCACCTGTCTTTCTTGTAGCTTCCTTGGATATTCAGGAGATTGATATTCACTTATTCAGTCAATTAATAGTCAAAGCCTGCTCTGAAGAACGCACTGTTCTGGGTCCTGAGGATGGTGTAAATTCAAAACAACCCCCTCACTCAGTTACCCGGACTGTTAGCTCTAACTCCTTCATGCCTTACTACTGACCAAACAACACCTGGGCAGTTAACTGCAGAAAGCTGCAAATCTCAAATTCCTCTGGGAGGTAGAACACTGTTCCCATCTGTTTCCTAACACATTCTGTTCTCTAACATTAAGAAGCTTAGAATTTTGGAACTAAAAGAGACCCAGGAGGACATTTAGCCCAATTCCTTTATGTTACAGATTAGGAAGCAAGAGGCCCAGGAAAGAAAAGTGACTTGCTTAAGGACAGTGGCAGTTTGACTTAAAATACTTCTTTATTTTTTAGTGGCTTTAAAAAATACACATTTGAATTAAATTGTTGTTATTCAGGTATCTGTATATTGCTTTCACTCAACATATTTTGGTAAACTGTTTCAACTAAACAACATATCCATTTGAGGGGAAAGGGGAAGAAAACTGTCAGTGATTGAAATCTTAATATGTTTGGTGCTTTAAATGTGCTATCTCATTTTATCCTCACAATCCTCACAGGGTTCTGCCTTAACAAAAAAGAAAAAGGAAACTTAGAATATGTAAACAGTTTTCCCAGAGCGGTTAATAAGTACCCTAGGTCTAACTCCAAAGCCCACAACCTGGCCTATATCTGACTGTAGACATCATGGATCAATAATTTAGGAAAGAACAGGTTTGCTGTGTATTTTGAAAGCAGAATTACCCTTTCCTGCTAATAATCTTTTTCAAAATGTAAATCAATAACAGTTTACATTCTAGTTCTCCTTAGGCTTGGCTTATCTGAATAAAAAACCAGGTTCAAATTACAAAGTTTTTCACCTGACCAAAGTAAGATATATTTTAATTTCCACCAGCTCCCCATAAACTCAAAGACTAGAAAATGTCAGCCCAGAGGACCCAAAAAGAACAAATGAAAGGACTATCTGTGCCATTTCTAATCACTACCAAGTCAGAGAACTTGCAAATCTCACTTTAATCCCCATACCCCTCCCCACAACAAAATGAGCAACAATTACCTCATTTGAACTTAATCCATCAGTAGAAGTCAGAGGCACTTGCCCATGTAGCACTGTGCCAGTCATCTCTTTTACCCCAAATGCTGGGGAATCAAGATCCTCCTTGATCCACATTCCAGCAGGGGAAGGCTCCACCTTAGCAGGAATTCTTTCTTCTGAGACAGGCACTGAATCAGTGTGGGCAGTATCTCCCATGGAGGGGACTCCAGAAGGGACAACTTCCTCCACAGCAGGCACTGCAGCAGCTGGGGCAGCAGGCTCCTCTGTAGTGGGCAATGGAACATCTGGGGCAGCAGGCCCCTCTGGGGTATCATACTCCTCTGGGGCAGGCACTGCAGTAGCTAGGGTGTCAGGCTCCTCTGGAGTGTCATCCTCGTCTGGGGTGTCAGGCTCATCTGGGGCGTCCTCTTCCTCTGGGGCATGCACTACAGCAGCTGGTGCAGCAGGCCCCTCTGGAGTGAGCACTCCAACATCTGGGGCAGCATGCCCCTCTGGAGTGGGCACTCCAACGTCTGGGGCAGCAGGCCCTTCTGGGGTGTTCTCTGGGGCAGGTAAGGCAGTAGCTGGGGTGTCATCCTCCTCTGGGGCAGGCATTCCAACAGCTGGGGTGGCAGGCCTCTCGGGAGTAGGCACTGCAGCAGCTGGGGTGAAAAGCCTCTCTGGGGTGTCATCCTCCTCTATGGTGGACACCGTAGCAGTTGCAGCAGTACCATCTGGGGAGGGCTCTGCAACAGCTGGGACATCTTCTTCTGTGACAGACACTGCAGCAGCTGGAACACCCTCCCCTATGGTGGCCACTGCAGCAGCTGGGTCATCCTCCTCTATGGTGGCCACTGCAGCAGCTGGGTCATCCTCCTCTATGGTGGCTACTGCAGCAGCTGGGTCATCCTCTGCTATGGTGACCACTGCAGCAGCTGGAATACCCTCCTCTATGGTGGCCACTGCAGCAGCTGGAACACCCTCCTCTATGGTGGCCACTGCAGCAGCTGGAACACCCTCCTCTATGGTGGCCACTGCAGCAGCTGGGTCATCCTCCTCTATGGTGGCCACTGCAGCAGCTGGGTCATCCTCTGCTATGGTGACCACTGCAGCAGGTGGGACACCCTCCTCTATG